CGCTTTCGAGTCAGTTTAAGCTATGTTTTATCGATTGTTGTGCTTTTATTTGTCTGTCCATTCTCCTTATGTGCCTTTTATCTATTCTTATGTATGCCTTTTATCTATTATTGTAATATTATATTTTATTATAATGTTATGTCTGCTGTGAAGCACTTCGGTGAAACCCTCTGTTTTTAATATGTGCTATATAAATAAAGTGGATTGGATTGGATTACCAAACATCTCCTGCTTTTTAATTTGGCTAAATGGATAGGGTGCATGGTGAATTTAGGAGCTGTTCTACATACGCTACTAAATAAATTATCTGGATAAGTGGACCTATATTTGAATGCTCTCTGGAAAATGACTGTTCTTGTCTGATGCTACACAAATAAACAACCCATGTACAGGAATAACATTTTTGCTGATGACAAAAAATGGGAAGCTAATGATTTGTAGGGAACTGAAAACCAGCAGTGACGGAACAATGCAGCGTAAACAACACATTACTTAAAAACACAAGGCAAACCACACAATAACAACACCAACACAAAACCTGGAGGACAACAGAAGGCACAAGCCGTCACAGATTACTCATTATCCCGTGAGCACTATTCATGTCTGGGTCTTAAGTTACAAACTGCACAATGCAGCTCCACGCCGGAGCTCCCCAAGGAATACTGAGGGCCTTGGATCATGTTCACCCTTTCTGGCACAGTCTGAGGAGGCCAACATAGATTTAACCACATGTGAGGTAAATCTCCCCCTTTGTTGTCCTCTTTCTCTCTTTAAGCCAGCCCCTCTTATTTGTGTGACAGATGTGCGACCTTCAATTATATAAGTGCTGAAATCACAAATAGAGTAGCTGCAGGTTTGCCTTCTACATGTAAAACAACATGCAACCACCCTGGATATATTGGAAAAAAGTTGTCATAACCTAGTGTCTTCCTGATTTCTCAAAGGGCATATCCAACAAGAAATGCAAAGGGGGTTTTTGCTGCGCAAGTGATGAATAAAAAGTAATCAGAAACAGAGGCTGGAGCAGATGATCTCAAACCCCCTGCCTCCTCCTGGTGCTGTCCAGACCTTACAGCAAGATCACTGGGAAATCTGGTTTCAATACACTGCTTCCTGTGAAGGCAGGAAATACCCGTCATTTCTGCAGGCAATTAACAAAGAACCAGTGTGAGCGTCAACCTTGGAGTGGCTTTCTTGAGATCAGGAGTCATGCCTCTAACACTGTTAATTCAATTAGAGACCGAAAGGGCAAGCTGGGGAAGAAGGGCACAGAGGGAGCATGAAAGGGCACAGAGTGAAGACTAGGGTGTGGAGGAGGTGTGCAGAGACATGGAAGAGGGAGTATTTACATGGCACACAACCAGCAGGCAGCCCAGCAGACAAGCAAAGACAGCAGACACTAAAAGAAAGAGCTGCTGGAGGGGTTGGGGATGGAGCAATTTAATATCCAGCTGAAACACGTCCTCCTCTGTCCTGGACTGGGCCGGGAGATGTTTCACTTCACAGGTTTTGCTGGGGCTGCAGCTCGGTTACAGCTGCAGGAGCATAGCACTCATAAATCCTTGTTGTACTTGAATTATCCTTTGGTGTCTTTCAAGGTTTGGTGATTGCAATAACAAACCATGTACTCTCTCTGAGCTCCTTTAACTATGTGCAGTAAAATAAAACTGGCAAACAAGAATGCATTTCAACCAGCATTCATTTATCTTTTTCTGGCCAATCCCAAGCATCGGAATAAGATCAATCAAAATTGTAATGTATTACCTACGACCTCATGACTCCAATATTTATTCTCCTTTCAGCTGGGGTCTCTGCCAACTCCTCAGGGAAATATATGCCTCCTTACAGTTGCTAAATGCTCCACTACATAAACTAGCAAGTCACTAACCTTGTCTCAATGCTGTTAGAGGCAAACATTTATCATTTGGTTTAAAATGTTACTGAAACAATCTGTGGGCTGCTGCCTGAAACGGTTGTAGAGATTGGCGAGAGTGAAGCAGAAAATCCATTTGCATGATGTACAATCATAATATCAACCCGACAGACACTAAATTGTCATCTAAAGCTCAGGGAATTTCTGAGTCGGGTGATAATCCTCTGTGGGTTCTATATCATAAGCACCCCCTTTTTAGACTCCAATATATAAAAAATATTGAATGGTGCCACTTAAATTAAATAGAATAATAATATGGAAAATGAGAATATCACTGAAAATATGTGTCTAAATTCTGCAAGAAATTGTCATCATAAGAAAGTCATGCTGTATTTTGCAGTTATTTATATATTTAAATGTCAATTTCCAGTAAACCATCTAAACACAATGACAAATAGGGTGCCGACAGTAGAGTAGGACATTCTGGCTTGAAGACTGCAGCTTTAAAACTGTGGCAGCACCACCTGAGCCCAGTAACAACACACGTTCATGTATATATGGTGACGTCTAAATTAGATTTTGTTCAAACATTTCTAGCACTAGAGAAATCCATCTCTGTGAGCTTGCCAGATTTGGTACTCCTTTAATGGCCTGTGCCCTGGAAAATGATACTAAAGAATCGCAGTGTTGATCAGACAAGGACAGTCCCCCGTTTGTTTACATATTTCTGCCTCCATAACATCAGCAGGGAAGGCCAGGGGAACTTCCTATTTTGGGAAACAGCTGCCTTAAAGCAACAATTTCTGGAAGAGGGTTAGCATGGTGGGAGAACGAACTGTAATCTATTTCAGTTAAAGAGCCTGTGAGAAGAACAGTTTTGTGTGGATACTGTGGTACACAGCCACATCTAAAACACCTTTTCCTAAAGCCTTCAATCACAAAAAAACATCTTATTAACATATTTGTTCCTCTTCAGAGTTGTGATAATGCAGGTTTCATTACGATGACTGACAAACATCTGGCAATGCTGTGATGCGGTGGTTCAACTCCACTGTGGGAGAACACTGAGTGGACCACCAATACTACCAGTGAGACGTGAGTGTTGTTACTTGATATTAATGAACTGAGACTGATCTCACGAGGGGAGAGGTCTAAGTCATTGGAAAAGTAAGCCGAGCTCCTGATGCTGCATGTCTGATCAGTGATATTTCACAGCTGCACGTCTGCAGTTGCTTCAAAGGGGGCCTAATACAACCTTCTCTAATCCTAGACAGATTAAAGATAAAACAGTATTAATAGGTGTGTCGCTTTTGTCTCTGCTTCCATTTCTGTCTGCTAAATTAAGTTATTGAATTGAATAATCTATGTTTACATTCTTGATTCCATTTTTGACAAGGGTCCTGTAAATCTGTTGATTACCTCCGCCATGAAGGTTATGTATCAGCTCAGTTTGTCTCACTGCCATCAGGATTACAGGAAAATGTCTGTCCTGATTTTTAATAAAACATGGTGGAAGACGGCCGCATAGTTGAAGGAAGAAGCCTTTACATTTTGGAGAAGATCCGAATTACAGGCTTGATAAAATAAACTATTTTCACTTTATTTAACACTCTGAAATAGGGATGAATAATTGTGAGCGGCCCATATAGTGGAAACAACAACTATAACACAGCTATGGACTTGTCGTTTAACAGTTACCTATATGGATAACACACTGCAATGAAAGAAAGGGAAAATGGTAGAGAAAAGGAGCAGAACTATTTTCCTACAAAGTATCACGGACAAACTTAAGTTCATCATGAGGACTTATAACTGAAATGTTTTCTTTGGCAGACATTAGAGCGTCTCCCACTCACAAGGCTAAAGCTTTGGCAGCCAACCATTTTTTTCTCTCATCCTCTCTGTGTTTGCAAGTATGTACCAGCACATGTGTGTTCCTCATTTATTTAACGCTTAGAATGCTGAACCTCAGCTGAGCCTTTTTCCTCTAGTGGTGACCTGTCTGTCTAAGAATACAGCCAATGCCCTAATAGGTGAAAATACAACACTGAGGCTGCTGAAAAAGCCTTGGTCTGGAAAATCGAACGTCTGCCCATCCCTCTGACGTAATGATTCAACAATTGAAAATATAACCCCTGACTTTCTGAGTGGCCAGCACATTTTTAGAAGTAGGGGAAAACACTTTCGCTGACAACAACTGTGAGAACACCGGGGTCTTTGTAAGTAAGGAAGAAGGCACGCCTGGAACTTCAGAACTGCGCAGAAAGCCACAGCTGCCTCTGTCATCACAGCAGACTTTAATGCAGCTGCAGCATTTCTGCCTGTAACTGAAGCTGAAACCAGACCTACACTGTCTCAGAGCCCCCTACCACTGCAGCCTCACGTCCCAGAGGACACAGTTACCCCACTCGTTGACCCCCAGTGACCCCTGTCTGTCAGAGGTTCAATGCTCTGAGTGAGAACGCTAGAGAGGGCAGCTCCAATATCTGAGGTGAGATATTGAGGGAAAAACAGTAAAGACTTTTAGAGGGGGATATCCTCTTGTACTCTGCCTAAAATTTGAACCATGGCTTTTGAATCTGGCCGGTAGCCATTTTGTGTTTGTGTTTTAAAGTTTGGCCGATACAGCATAAAGAACTTAGTATGACCTCCCCCACCTGGTATAACCTCAAACGTTACCTTGAATTTGATCCTAAGAAGGACTCTTAAGTCTTAAGAGAATAAGCTCCTGTCCCTTTTGCTTTGAGTTACAGTTGCCTTAAATTCACTTAATTTGTGCAAACATACCTGCACTGAAATGCCCTGAGGATTATAATGAGCTAGCAAAGGATTGAGCTCATATGCTAAATATTGAGAGTCAGCAGTGGTCTCTTAGAGCCTTCATTCATGACTTGATACGCTCCAGACAGAGAGGAAGGGCGTAAATCTACAAAGAACCAAAAGTATTTATTCCCAAAATGGACAGGCTTAAATTATTAATGTATATACAGTAAGAGTCTGTCAGGCTGTGTAAAGTGCCCTACTCAGGTCCTGAGTGTGAATGACTGCTTTGTCAATTTTTCCTCTAAACCTTCCACAATCACTGACTGACTAAAGATGGCTGTGGGTGTACAGAGGTGTTACTCACCTCAAAGTAGCGGTTCCGAGACGGCTGGGAAAACAAAATGTGCGAGGTAGCCAGGTACATGTATGCTGTTCGGTAAGAGCTGATCTCCTGGTGGCCCTGGATCAGTTTGTATAGCTCCAGGCACATCAGGCCTGCCACCGCTGCTGTGGTGGTAGCTATGGCTGGGATTATCCTTCCAGCTATGAGCTTACTCTGTGGAGGAGACAGAGTACACTATTAAAATGCAGTTCAATAAAGTAGAATTATATGATCATACTGTGTTGGTTTACAATTTGTAAGTGGTGCAAAATATATACATAGTTTATTTACACATTTTATGTCATCTTTAAGGTGCTTGTATTTAACTTGAATTTCATGTGGTGTTTTTTTTTAATACTTCAGCTTCACCACAATCAGTGGTTGAAACATTTAAGTAAGTGGGTGAGTATATAGACCATATACTTACAATTGCCATTCAAACAAAACATTAGACCACAAGAGAAGTCATGTTTTAAGTATAATTTAAAAATTCGGATCAAAATGTACTAACTAATACTATTAATGTAAAAGAAGCATTTTGATGTTGTTGGACCTAAAATTAACTACTGTATAAACTAGTTCACATTTTAATCTGTATTATGCATCTTATTCAAAATAATTATTAGGCCTATGTCAAATGAAGTCAGTGGCATAAAAAGTCATTTTTATAATATTCTACTCTGAAATATAGTGGAATAGTAGCAGCAGAACATCACTTAGTTGGATGTAATGCAACACAGTACAGCATGTTTCATTGTTTTATACATTAATTGTTTTACCTAAGGTACATTTGCCTTTTTAGTGATGCTGTGTCCTTGGGCAAGACACTTCACCCTAATTGCCTCCTTGTCCACAGTATTTACTGTTACATGTCTGATATGTGTAATATGTAATGTAAAGCGCTTTGGACATTCTGAAAAGCGCTCCAATAAATGTAATTAATTATTATTATTAGTGTATTCATACTGTACGTTTTGCATGAATCCAGGGTTAAATGGTGAATTAAAGAAAAATAAATCCAAACATGATTCCACATGTGTAAATTTCTGTATGATTACACAGGAGTAACCCTCTATTGTCTCCCCTCCCTCAGCAGGACCCTTCCCCCAGTCCCCCATCTGTCCTGGCGGTGTGTCTGCAGCAGAGGCTGGTACAAGGCCTGGCTCAGGTGGCTCAGGTGTCACCTCCCAGGCGACAGGTAAAGTGCTGTGATTAGTTCTGCCCCAGGAACAATGGGTGAGGTGGCTGATTCTGTGGCTTTAGGGCAGGTGTGTGCTGCATTGACTAAAAACATGACCCCGAGGGAGGGGGAGCAGTATTCATTGCCTTTTTCTTATCCATGCCGCCACTTCAGCTTCATCCCTCTTTAATATGTTTTCCCTTTCACAGATATTTCTTTAGATGATGCACGGAGAGAAAATGTTGACCTGGTGCCGACTGGCTGCAGGGATGACATAGTTCTCCGCTCTCAGGTTGGATGCAGCAACAATGTAGTCCATGTGGAAGTTATTGTCGTCATCCTGTGTTAGGTGAGATAATAAACATACAGTACATCAGTCATTCAAATAGCTCCAAAGCTTGATGCATCAGACAAAATGTATCTGATTAGGTATTGATGTCCATGCCTAGTGACACCCCCGCAGTCATATGATGCTCAGTGTGGCTGCTTTGAAGGCTTTGTTGTTGTGTCGCTTAGATCAGCCTAATACATGACTTGGTCACCCCATCAGAATGCAGAGGAAATCAGATTTCTGTTGTGATGGACAAGCCCAGTGAGGTCATGCCTCTGCTTCAGCGGCTTTACAAAGGCTAGGAAGGCGACTGTCACTCAGGGATGGCTTTAGGGGATGTGAGGAAGCTGCTAGCTGGCAACCTGATGCATATGAAACCCTCCTACACACATTCCATCTATCCACAGCACGACCTGGGCATGTGGGGATCAACAATAATGAGGAGGGGGAGCTCGGTAGTTTGGGGATCTCATTCTTATTCAAGATGATATTCGATATGTACCAGACATACCTTTTACACCTTCATTACTGCTTCTCCTGAGTCACTCACACTGCCTGCTAGTAATTTCTATAGCCTGTCTAAATTCCTCTAACACTCAACTCTGTAGCTACAGCAACTGCACCCTGACTGCTCCGCTAATATGTCTTTGTTGGAGGTGTATGGTCGGAGGTAAAGGTTTTGTCACTGTGACACACTGCTCGCCTACACACTCTTAATTCCCATTAAGATAAAGAAAAGGCTTGTATCAAAAGGTAAGAATTTTAATTATTACACTCCTTTTCCAAGGTTTCCCAGGAAACCAAGGATTTTCCTGCTGGGTCAATAGGTCAACAGGTAAAAAAGAGGACACCTTTCTTAATTAGGCATAAGATTAAATGATATTTTGGGATATACATCCACAGTAAGTCAATATGTTATGATTAAAATATAACTGCATCATATTCTGCATTTGTTTAGTGTAATAGTAGATAAGATTAAAGAAATTAAATATTTTCTTTGGTCCTTTGATGAAATTTTGAAGGAACACATTGCTGGCATTTACAGGAAACATATTATAGAAACTGGCTGATAACTTTAATCCAAAGTTGTTTTTGATTCTGGGTCTATTCAGAGTCTGATCTTCTTTATTCTGACTTAGCTTACTGTGCTGAAGCAACTGTTAAGGATACACCTTTGGGAAGTTGTTATTTGTTGTATGTCTGTGCTCCCAGATCACTTTATAGAGATATATACCTTATGCTTGGCTCCCCCAGACACTTCCAGGTGACAACTCAGCGCTAAACCTGATTAAATGTCCATACAGTGAGTGACTATTTGTTAATAGGCAGTGAAAGAGAGTGTGAGGAGACACTGTGACAGACAGGCATACAGGGGAAATCTACCTTCAGGACTCCCTTCACTGATGCAGTTGACACGTGTGCAGACACTATGTCTTTGTCCTGAGTTGTTGAATGAAATGCATTTTTCCTAAAGTTTTATAATACACCTCTTGAATATTAAATAAATCTGTTCCATGTGAGCTGGCAGTAAGATGTTTTTTCACAATGTAAACTTCTTCAGATTCATACATTTAAGCCCCAGGGAGTTTTAACAGTGAAAACACACAAGCACAAGCACAAGCACAAGCAAGCTCTGTTTCATGAATGTTTTGAGCAAAAGCAAAGATTCGGGCCACTAAGGACCCAAAGACGAGGGGAAAGAAAGTCATATTCTGAAAGCACCCATAGTTCTGAGTGCAGCTCCCTGCTAACGCTAAGCCTCCAGTCTGTCTCTGCTTCTGCGGAGCGTGCAGCAGAGGTGTCACTGTGCTCCCACCCTACCTTCTCAAAGTCCGTGGGGTACATCTGCATGGCTGAGGTTTTCAGAGACGGGGAGGCCAACTTTCCTTTCAGCTCCTCAAGTCTGGCTTTTTCTGTAGCATGGACAAAGAGAGACATGAAAAAAAGGAATTCTTCAAGACAGTGAGTAGTGACATTAAATATCATGGCATTCAAATAACTCACCGGCATCATCACTGTCCTGTTTTTTGTCCTCCTCCATATCCTTATCAGTGACGTGAATCTTCACGGAGAACTTGGGAGTGAAAGACGGTACGGAGACTTTCTCTAAGGTTTTTCTGATGGAAGCGCAGTCTGTTGTGCCTTTGATCCCGTAGATCTGCCCGTACAGATTAGCTGCTGCCACCACATACTCCTTGTGGGTACTCTAAAACACATAATACAAATATAAACTTCAAATTAAATCGACACTTTTGTCATGTTTTATCAGAAAACATAATTTCCATATAAATCATAGTTATTCTACCTCTCTTCAGTTGAGAACACTTTAAAATAATTAAATAAAGTTGTGCTAATGTTGCATTGTGCGACTCATAATGCAGGAATGAATCCAACAATTAAATATAGAATATATTTGTTTTTAATAGAGAATATCTACACAGCAGTAAAAACTTCTGATTCACACACACACACACACACACACACACACACACACACCACACACACACACACACACACACACACACACACACACACACACACACACACACACACACACACACACACACAACACACACACACACCCACACACACACACACACACACACACAGTAACAGATAATTCATTAAAAGTGAAAACAAATATATTTTAAACAAAGATTTTGTAATACCAATACCACACTATTCCAAATAATACACAGTATACACTGTTCACTCAAACTTTATAGGAAAATTGGCACTGAAACCGGAGTGTGCTCATCTGTCAAAGTTGAGAGCTTATAAAATATAAGATGACAACATTTCATAAATATTGAAGGGAAAAATAAACAGTAAAGGAGTCAGATAGCAGTAGATGGAATAGTGATGGTTGAACAATTGTGGTCAAATCATCAATGCAAGGAAAGCAACTCTTATTCCATTATTTATGTTGTGTGTAAATTTCAGCTGCTTCATTAAAACCTTAGTATCTCCTTTGTTTAATATTAGAGTATGTAGAGATAATCATCAAGGATGTGAACGTGATAAGAGATTATTATCTGCCTTTCATTATCCATATGCATGTTTAGTGGCATTCACAGATCAGATAAGAATCCAGTATACAGTCAAAGTCGGGAACAGTTACTATCACATCAGATAAAGAAGGAATGCTAACAGTCATCAACAAATACTGTGGCATTTCTGTGATTCCTGTCCCCTGTTTTAGGGTGCATGTCAGGATTACTACTAAAAGAGCAGCCGGACCAGGTTCTACTTACATTGTTGAGGTCAAAGGTCAGTGGGTGTGGACATCTCTTGGATCCAGTCCAGAAGGGTAGACCAACAGCAGTCTTCTATAGGGACGCAGAAGAACATCGTTTTTTCAGTTAAAATTCGAGATAGTTAAAATATCGCATTTACATTTTATATACCGACAGAGCTCACTGTAGTTATTAATAATACTTAGGTGTAATTAAAAAGGGATCCATTTCTATATTCCCAATGATTTTAAACTTGACATTTATATCAAATTCAACATACAGTATGAGTGTATTACTTGATAAACATCACAGAGTCCTTTACATTTTTGACCCAGCAGGAGGATTCCCGTAGTACTGCCAGACTAATATTGTTATCAGTCTTGTGTTGACAACACCATTTGTATGTCTGATAAAGAAACAAAGAGACAGAGGGCTTTGATGTTTCCAAATGGTCCATATGCTGGAAAGGGATAGTCCTGTGGTGCCAGTTCTCACAGCAGGGGGGCTTTCTAAAGTAGCCAAAAGGCATCTACTGTATTCTCCTTTTCACTAAGTTTAAGAATCATTCCTATCATTCATAAGATCATTCCTATGGTACAAATAAGACTAGTCAAACATAGAACCACTGTTCTTTCAATAATACATAATAGGTGGACTTTTGAGTTTAGAGTGTTTTTTTAATAATACAATTGATTTGTCTTTATAAATCTTAAAAAAAGAAAGAAGATAATTCACTGTATTTGAGTATTTAGAGTGCTAAAAATAACTGAAATGTTAACTTAACACCATGTCTTAAAATTGCTTTATTTAAAACACGAAAAACAAATTGTCTTAAGTTAAATAACTCTCCAGACACTAGTTTCAGCCCTCTTTTATGTTCTTAAACTGCGGTCATTTAATTAGCAAGAAGTTGGCAGCTCACTGTAATGCATGGGTTTGAATACAAAATATTAAGCCTTTTATCTCTACCGTCATGTTAGTAAAAGGTTCAAACACATGCAGAACGACACTTCTATATGGAGGCTCACACTCATAAAATTAGCCGTTATGTTTAAAGTGTGGCCATCTGTCACGTTTGTGCACCCATATTTGTCTGGTTGGTTTGCGAGCGTTAACGGACATCAGCTGCCTTATCATAGTTCCTCAGAAAGTTTGTGGTCCAAAGTCACTTTCCAGGATGACAATGAAACCATAACTCTTGTATAGTTAACCACAACAGCTATGGAAGGAAAAAGAGTAGCAAAAACACAACATAACTGCCACAGAGTTTGTAGAGTGTGTTCTGATTATAACGTTTAACAATCATTTTAGGAAGGATTCTATAATGGTCTCAATGCAAATAATGCCCCACATGAAAAATAATTAATTTTATAAGCGAAATAATATGAAAAGTTTAGATTATTTCTCAAGGGAAATGCAGGGGAAAATCACAATTGGACAGAGGAATTTCTATAACCCTGCAGGGACGTTTAATGAAAGTAGAAACGGCCAGTTGCCGGACTGAAGTTAGTGAGGGTTTGTTTGGGTTGATACTGATCCGTGCCCCCCCAGGTGTGACAGCATGATGTGACATCACTGTCTGCATGCTTCACCAGATTACAAACCCTCAGAGCCGCTCAGAGATATTTATCAGAGATGGCTTTCAGTGGTTTCAGCTTTCTAACAAGGTTAATAGTGGTTCTTAAGCCCGGGGAAATATGCTGCAATAAACAATGAAGTTAAATGTAAAGAATTAAACACTGACTCGCTTTCCTTTTGTGCTAATGCCACAAGGAAGATTTTTGTTGATTTGTATACAAGGACCTTACATAAAAAACAGTGCCACTCTGTGTGCATCAACATTGTTCACAGCTCTATGAAATGGGGCCTTAGAGAGTTATATGTTCCTCGTGTGATGTTACCTCTTCAGGAGGGAAACAGTGCAGAAGCTGGCGGATGTCATTGTTATACAGATTCTCCCACTTGCTCCGTGCCCAGCCGACACAGTCTTCCCAGCTCGTTGGACGCTGTCCTCCAGCTTTTATGTTCTCCAGGCTGCTACACAACCCCTCAAGAGCCTCCAGGGCCTCAGCGTCTCCCAGGCCAAGAGTCCGAGGCATAAACTCTGGATCTCTGCAGGAAACCATACAGAAATTCTTCATCATTTAATGACAGACATAGAGGTATACATGAGGTAATCATCAGACAAGACCTGACAGGTATCCTCAACATTTCTGGTTGTAAAATACATTCTCAGAGTGTAACCTACAGAATAACAGCTATGACATCTATTTTTCTGGAGGGGAAAGACCAGTTACACAGTGGGAAAACATTTGAAATGGAAAGCAGAACAGTGTGTATGTCAAAATATCTGATTTAAGGAAGCACAGAGCAGAATGACTAAACAGATTTTAGTTAATCTGAGTGTAGTCCTGCTAGTGACTCAGAGGGGATTCCTTTGACGCGTGGCTGTGTACGTATAGGAAGGAAAGTAAGTAATCTTGTAGTGTACTGGTCAGTGAAACTGCAAACCACACACCTGAACAGTTCATGTGCCATTATCATGTGTCAGTTAAACAGTCACAGCCTTGCACTGCAAACACAAAAAGGGATCTGCCTCCACTGTGCGCAGTTACACCTTAACAGGTCTAAACAGGAACATTGAGAGCCATAGTTCTGCTTAGAGCTGCACAGGTGGGAGGGTAACACAACAAAATGTGACTGTATTTTCCATGAACTCATCAACAAGGGCTTGAATTACTGGACTACAACATTTACCTGAACCAGCATGACTGCAGCACAAAGAAACCTCAGATGAAACACATAATACATGTTTCCACACATCAGTGTGACAGGAGGAACTGTAATGGCTGTGTTGACCAACGATGACCATTTCTGCTATAGGCATGAATTTTGTTTCTGTTTAAAGATGCGAGAAAGTGCACAAGTGCACAAGTGCTTCACAATGAGGGGGAATTACATCAAATCTCACAAAAACAAACAGAGACATCTCAAAACATGGCAGGATTAGGTGGGCTCCGGAGCCTCAAAGCTCAGACTAAGTTTTGGCCTGGGGGCTCAAATCTGTTACTGTGACATTATAATTAGAATGACGTGTTTTTCATAACAAACTCACAACAAATTCACAAGTCGAGTAAATATCACATTTCAACTCAATATGTATGTCAGCAGCACACTGACAAAGCCTTTTGTCATTATATAGTACTTTCTTTAAATAGCATTTTATTTAATTATTCAGAATTGTTTCTTGACCACAAAGCCTCTAATTAGTTGATATTTCACTATTATTTGTAGAAAACAGTTTGAGCTGCTAGATAGCTCTAAGGGAAGAAAATAAGACTGTTAATACTCTTTTACTAGGAGTTTACTGCTAAAAGCCAACCACATGTTTTCCCGTTTATAAAACAAAATAATGAGCTTGAAACACTTCATTAGTTTTGTAGGTTTGCTGGAATGCTTTGTAGGAGAGCAGAAACGCATTGTAAAATGAGCAAGTAGTTGTAATTAAGTGCCAGCAGATTGGCAGCAGATCGTCAAATGTAATTAAAAACTTTTTTTTGGAGGCCACACTTGTTGTGGAAAAAAGTTAAACATATCTTACCCCAGGAAAAGATTCACATTTTCAGGTGCTTGTTTGAACAGTCCTTCAAACTGGTCTCTGGCCCACTATAAAACAATATGTATGGAAAATACAATCAGTTAAATAAAAAATACACTGCACACACTACACTACATTTTAGAGTAATTGTATTGCAATGAAAATTGGTACATGCATTAATAATTAATGTAATTAATAAGGATTGCTTTTGATTCTTTAACTTTTCATTTAGCACCATCATCTGGTCATTATAATGTTTCCAATATTTGTCAATGACCAAAAGGTGGGAGTCCTGTAAAAAAGTTCTTCCAAAATATGTTTTCAATAGTTTCAACCTCTATATATTTAAACGAGGTGGACATAAGAATCAGCGGAATAATAAAAGTAAAAAACAATAGATTATAGGTATTGCCTTTTTTCTATCTCTGGTCATTCACTGTAGGTTTTGAAGCAGAAGGAGTTGAATCGATCAGTGTAACTCAAACAAACAGCTCAATTATATGTTAACGTGGTACCTGCAGGGTGTGCTCAATGCGGTGAGGGAAGTTCTTGAGAGTGCAGAGCGGGATGGCATCATTAGAACTCGATTTGTCCGGGCCGTAAGACTCTGTCAGGTGAGGCACCACCGCCAGAGTATGACCCTGACATCCTAAAGTTCCTCCCTCCAGCAACGGTTTCTGGAGTTGCACACAGCGTCCGTCAAGGTAGACTCCTGGGAATCAAAAAGAGCAGTTAAAGGCTGTTGTACTAAATGTTGATATGGCTCCGGTATATTCACAGTTGTAATAAACATTTAAATAATGGCGAGGAAGACAGAGTAAGTGCACTCACTGGCTTTCACATTATCAAGGGCTGCAGCCACTCCATCGAGACCCATGAAGAACTTGTAATCATAAACTTCTTCACTGTCAGGGTCCAGACAATTCTGGTGAGCGGTGATTTTCATCGCTGGGTTCATCTCTCGCACTGCTTTGGCCGCAACGTCCGATTTTGGTTTCTGTTTATTTACAGGTGAGCAAGTCGTCAGTGTCATTGAGAGATAATGTTTTTCAGCAATGTAGAACACAAACAGATGGAGGGTGTAGTGAACAAAATGTTAATGCATACAGAAGGAATATCCAGATTTGTTTTTGTGTCTATCAAACGGTTCGAATAAATCAGCAACATCTAAAGCCTAAAGAAGACTTATAAACCGTCTCATTTCTCTCTATTATATAATACTAGAATAAACACAGTTTCCCTCCAGAATCCCAGTGCATTTAATGATTTTTTTGTCAACATACCCTCTAACTGCACTCAACTATGTGTTGCGTAAGTTGTTTACTCAGATGTTAGTGATCAACTGTCTGATAAACCTCTAAAGTACACAGCAAAACAAAACTGCCACAAATGATGGAACTTGTCAGCAATGTGTAATCTGACACAACCTATCTCAGACTGTCACAACACCTTAGCCCCCCCCAACCTGTCCCATTAGTAAAGCCCTCTGACCCTTCCACTTAACCAGGTCAAACAAGAAGTAGTGAGCTATGATGGCATGTGAGGTTCTTCATTACAGAGTGTGTCTTCTCACCCCAATATCCTGAGACCTGAACAAGAACTGTCGGTTCAAGTTGGATCTTTCTATGAAGTCCATGTCTGTTACGGTGATGTTCCCTTCTTCTCCTGCACCGAGCCCAATGAGGGCAAAGTTTTTAAGAAGCTCACATCCGATAGCACCAGCTCCAACCTAGACAAATGACGAGAGATACTGTGTCAGACTTTATGTTCAATTAGGTTGTGTTATTTTCTAAAGATAAACAAATGTTTATATGTATGTTCCAATGTCTAATGTAAAAGAAAATTAATAATCTTTTATTGCACATTCAGGTCTGCAATTTACACTAAATATGTATCATTATCAATTAATCCGCTTTATATCTAGATTAATTGATTAATCGTACTAAAAAAGTCCATCCCACTTTCCAAGGTTGTGTCTTTAAATGTCTTGTTTTGTCAGTCCAAAACTCAAAGATTAACATGAATTAAAATAAACAAAGGCAAGCAATCTTCATATTAAAAAAATCCTAAATCTGTTTGTAGAATTGTGTAGGATAAATTACTTTAAAGAGTACTACATTTTCACAAAATACATTCTGTTGATCTACTAATCGACTAGCTGACTAGTTTTAGCAGCTAAGTTGCACATTACCAGTTAAACTCTTTGATACTTTGAATGCCTTTTTTACGGTGATAACATAAACACTTGCACGCACTCTCTTTTTTACAAAGCACTCACAACAGTAACAAAATAACACCTCTATAGGAAACAGGGAAAGGGTTTGGCACCGTTGAATGGCCTCTGCACAGCAAGAGGTCAACACTGGCAGGAAATGCCGCCTGTATCACAGCCGTTTCCTGCATGTGCCATCATTAACACCAGACAGATGAAAGGAAAACACAGCTGGAGCTCCTGTATTCTCATGCAGAGTGTGCCCCCTGCTGGACAAATACCAAACCTGCCCTCACCAGGAAATACTTCTGCCTTTCCAGCTTCTCCTGGAAGGCTGAGCCAAACACTGCAATCTGTCCATCATACCTCGAGCCTTTCTGTCAGAGAGGAAGTACAAAGATGTTTTTGAGTTTACATCAGAAGTCTCATCAAATGTTTGTGAATGATATATGTGATTTGTTTAAATGGATAAACCTCTTCACATACTGCTGAAATTGAGCACTCTGCGAGCTGGTCCTTATCTTCAGGAAGGCACTCGAGTGCGTCAAAATATAGCCACTGCTGAAGAGGCGTGAATTTCCCACTACACGCCTGCAGGTACAGTATTGAGTGCACAGAACAACAGTCAGCTATAAGCAACACCAAGTGCTACGTATACATATATTATACACAATGTAACAATATCAACGTTATACTCTATCAATAACTGAGAGATACAAATTGGTATGTATGTCAACCTTTAACTAACCTTAATAACTTCCTGAGCTGCAAGGCCTCCAATAAAAGCATTCACAGGAGCCAAGTCACCCTGAGCTGTGAAGGACAGGATTCTCACAGCAGCTTCATCCAGCTGTTCCAGCTGTGCGACTGTGTTGAGCTCTCCCACTATGGCAAGCAGGGCATCTGCATCTGACTGTGTGGGATTAATCATGAAAAAGTACGTGAAAACAGTTGTTGAGATCTTCATATGAAGTGAATACTTAAAACGAAAGTTAATTGAGATCATGGTATGAAGTGAATACTTAAAAAACGAAAGTTAATTATAAATCATACATGATCAATCATATTCTTGTATAAACCCATAATGAGAATGCTTCTTGACGGTTTTTGAATATGTATCTATGCTTACAATTTTTTCTGTTGCTATTTTGATAACTTTGCGTTTTGAAAAGAGGGTGTTGTGAGTTTTCATAGTATGTTTAATACTTAAAAACGAAAGTTAGTTATAATCAAATATAATCAATTATATTCTTGTATAACCCACAATGAAAATGCTTCATATTTTAGGTTTTCTATAGTTACAGTATAAACAAAACAAAGTGGGTTGTTTAGGTTGAGTTTTCTTCCTCTCCTCTGGCAGCAGTCCAGAGAGAGGGGGGGGGGGGCTTCACACTAAGGAGACACATTAAGAGGCCAAAGAGAGTTCATGTCCTTTTTACCTCATATGAAAGGGTGTCTTATCCCATAACAGCTGTGGAACATGTTAAGGCATGTTCAGCCTTGTACATTATAGGACATGCGCAGTTCTTCACAAATTAGGTATAGAGGAGGAGTTTGTTTTTTTGGGTTTAGGATCCAGTTTTTTTTAGCATAAAGAGACTGGTTTTTTGAGAGAGCGCGAGAGAGGGGGGGAGACCCCTGGTAGACTCTCTCCGGGTAGGCTGTGTGCTTCAGAGCTGGGTAACTAGCTCTCGGTATTGGTTCTGTCAGAACGGGGTAAATATCTCTCGATTTTCTTGGTTGTTGGCTGAGTGGAATGATTTGATGAGAAGATGTGTTTGGGAATATTATAACCGCGACCTGTAAGGACCTTCCTTCGAACTCTTGGCGGATGGGTATGTGTTTTTGACAGGTTAATCCGCCGTCTGTGTCGGAAGATGTGTTTGGGAATATTATAACCGCGACCTGTAAGGACCTTCCTTCGAACTCTTGGCGGATGGGTATGTGTTTTTTGACAGGTTAATCCGCCGTCTGTGTCGGAAGATGTGTTTGGGAATATTATAACCGCGACCTGTAAGGACCTTCCTTCGAACTCTTGGCGGATGGGAATGTGTTTTTGAGTGTTAATCCGCCGTCTGTGTCGGAAAAAACGGTATGAAACTGATGTGAATTAATTGATGAATGGAAAGTTGAATGCGCTTTTTATTGTCACCGGTCTTTTTACGAGGAAATACCTCTAAATTCTATCGGGAGAATTTTAAAATGTCACAACTGAAATGGGCAGTTGAAATTAAAACATTTTGGTAATAAATGTAAGACTGTGAATTAAAGTTTCATTTGAACATGATCACAGCACGGTGTTTTGTTAGGATGATTATAATGTTGTAAAGAGAGAAGGTAAAAACCCTGTATTAGTTTGGACCTATTTTTCTTCAAATAAACTGAATCCCACCTGTTGGATTGGGATCCTTTAAAAGACACCTGTGCCCTCCTCTCCTGCGTCAAAGGTAAGATTGCACCCTGCCACACACACTTAGGTAGGAGCACACTCCATTTACTGATATCAAAATCCTTCGGGATCGCTTAAACAGATTAAAAAGAGTTGTCTGAATTGAAACAGCAGTTAATTGAACCTGGTTCTTCGGGGGGGTTAGGAAGAGGTGAGATCTTGCTGACGTTGGTGGATCTGAGCCAAGCAGCAAACTTACATAGACTCAATAATCTTCGGAAAGGTCAATTAGGAGGTCAGAGTAATTTACCGGAATAAATTATCAGGACCTCTCAAAACTCTAAACACAGTCCAATACATTGCTTTTAATGATTATGATAAAACAGAATATCCTATTAGACTTGTTCCGGCAAATAAATGGGCTGGTTTGTAACCTTTACAGACCTGAGACCAAGGATCAGGGAGTCTCTGTTCTTTCTTCACAAAGCCGTGGAGGGCTTGGAAAGCCAAGTGCAGGGTCTTGTGCCTCCATTCTTTTCCGTAATCATTCAGTTTCAGCAGCTGATGGTCCAATAGAGCCTCGCTCAGCGGTTTCTGCAATTGGTGTTGTAGTTATTTTATTTACAACATCAAAAAACAAAAAAGTTCAAACTATACCTGGATACTTACAAATGTTAGCATGCAGGGCTGTTTAACCTCCGTCACTACTCCACCACGTTCATACTTAGAGAAGGTCGAAGTGTCACATATGCTGAAGGAGTAGGAGCCTGGTGAAGGAGTTGATAATGACAGATAAAAAAACAATTCTCATCACAACAATAACATTCTGCATGCTGGCATACTGCTTGGGCAGGTAGAAAATGTTGAGTGCCATGTGGCTCATGACTAAACTACTTTTTGTCAGCTGAGGAAAGAGACTGTGACTTTAGGTAACACTGACCACAGTCTTTGATCTCCACAGGAGTGATGCTGTTGAGCTCCGTCATCCCTTGGACTTCAGAGAAGATCACTTTTGAACCGTTTGGAAATCTATGCTTCTGGTCATCTGTGCAGAGCACCACTCCAGGATTGTCCTAAATCAAAGTCATTTTGACAACCTCCAAAGTTGAAAGACATGTTGTACTAATAATGTATGCATATTTTCAACAAAATCTATAAAAACATTTGGAATTATTACAATCTTAATCGGACAGTTCAGAGATAGCCATATAAGCAGATATCTTTAATTTGTTGATTTGTTAGAGAGGTTTTTAATTTGCCAGAGACATACAACAAATGGAGGGTATTACCTTAGAGATACTTTGTATCATTGATGATGCGGGCATATCTTCATTCTGGTCCAAGACCTCAAACTGCTCCCCAAAGTCACAGAACAACTGACTGTAAATAAAACACACTGTTTTAACGTATGTGTTCCATGTTTAAGTAGGTTCAAGTGGTTTTTTGATAGTTTGCCTTGTCCACTTACCCACAGAGTCCTTTGGTGTCTGCTACAATGAACTTGATTCCACGTGAATGGCAGAGATCACCAAAATGCTTCTGGTCATCCAGTGAAGACTCAGTGAGGACCACCACCTGAAAAATGGACAGTCCACTCAGCGTTTTGGCAATTTTTGTCCAAAACGCAACGTATGCAAGTGTGGCTTGGAAACTTAAAAAAGCTTCAAGGCACACACTGAGATTACCTAGTTAAGTGGGAGATATCTATCTATCTATCTCTAGCAGTTAAAGATTCAAAATGATAAATATTTCCATATTCATAGATTCTGGATTTTTCAATGAGGCAGTAGATCGCACTGTTTATGTGAAAAAAGCCTTTATGCACCTCAACCTAAGTACCTGAAATTGCAGAAGCAGTTCCTCATCCAGGGGTCCGGTGTGGGCCGACACACGCACATGTGGGTTCAGGGCAGACAGCTGTTGCAGGGAACATGTGGCTCGGTTCTGACCAAGATGGGACTCCTTCAGGAAAAACTGGTGGGAAAATAAAATTACAGGTTGAAGGATAAACTCAAGGTTCACCTGACCGTATCACAGTGACTCATCTGTGAACCGGTCTGCTCAGATGCCACTTGTTTGAATGTTTTGACAGCATGTTTCCATCTAAAACGAAACCTACAAAGTTGCCTGATGGAGCAGCTACTAAGCAGTTCTCATTCATAACACTCCGTTCGATGTCTCACTATGGGATGCGCCTCATCGCGGAGCAAACAGAAGCATCAATCTCATTACGCCAATCCTGATTGGCTGGAGATCTTGACGTCAGCGTCAGGGAAATCACCCCCTATAAGTAGCTTGCGCCACAACGCATGCGCCATTCAAACACCTCTTCTCGCTTCAGAGCACATCTCTATGGTAGCCGGACAAGCTTCACGGTCCACAGACTGAACCCAAATATCCATTTCGGTCGACGGGCGCTTGCCGGCTACTCCTTCTGCTTCGCAGGAAGACGGTAATTACTAACGCTAGTTATTGTTGAAATCGACCTCGCCGCTCTCTTTCCCCGGAAAGTAAGCTAGGTCTGACTTTTTCAAGCTAGCGTTAGCTTGCTCCCTCACTACCGACACCACGGTAGCGAGGAAGTCTTTTCTTTTCTCTTCCCCACGGAGGAGGAAAGGATTAAAAGGAGCATACTGCCACACCAGTCAGTATTCTCTGGGAATAAAAGACCCACACCGTCCTTTTCTCCGGATTAAGGACAGGGTGGTTACCTCTTTTTCTCCCAACCTACCTGTTGAGAGCGGGTCCTCTCCACGCCACGAGGCGAACAAGATGGACGCCCCTCTCCCTCACACCAGAGGAGTCAGGGACTCGGTGGCTCGACTCTGCGGCTGCGGGTTGAAGATCTCGGGCACAGACACACACCAGGTCTGCTCGTCCTGCCTCGGGCTGGAACACGCCCGAGGCGCTATCGACAACCCCGGCTCGTGCGGACATTGTGTCCGCTTCACCGTAAAGAGCCTCCGCCGACGGCTAGCACGCCAAGCTAGCCTGTCGGAGCAGGAACCCCCCCATGTCCTCTGACCTGCCGGCCGGCAGTCAAGATAAGGGGGCATCTGCCACAGAGAGTGAACCCCTCTCCATGTCGGTCTGGGGCTCAGTATCTGCGATGGCCGCAGAACCGGATTCCCGCGCCCTGGCAGGCCGGGACCCGGTGGCGGCAAGACACGCGGGAACGGGACCCCACGCTTTACCGAGCTGGGGCTCCCAGTTAGACCTCACCATGGTCTCACCCGCGGAGGATGTCCTCGAGCTGGATTACGACGAGGACGAAGAGGACGCCTCGGTGTTCCTCCTGTCCGAGTCGGATGAACATGAAGAGGACATCTTCATGTCATCGGCTCAGGCTGCAAAGCCTGGAGCGAGGGCTGCTCTCCCAGACGATAGCATACCAGCTTCGCCCTGTCTGAGTATGGACCTGCAGGCCGTGTGCAAACGCGCTGCGGCCAGACTCGACATCCCGTGGCCTGAAATGGCCAAGGAGACCTCCAGGTCCCGCTACGAAGGGAAACATTTTCCCCAAGCAGCGCGGACAAAGAGACAACTCCTTCCGGTCTTCCCGGAGATGTTGGATGAGGTGTCGGTCTCGTGGAGAGACCGGCCCTTCAGCAACAAGGTCCCAATCCAGGGTGCCTCCTCCCTAGACTGTGACGGAATGGAGAAGCTCGGCCTGCTCCGCATACCGCCCATGGAACCGCTGGTAGCAGCCCACCTCCTACCGAGGATGGGCCCGTCACCAAGCAGGAACCCCACGCTGCAGGCAAAGTCGGACCGATTTCAGTCGACAATGACTGAACGGTCCTACAAAGCCACAGCGTTGTCCGCCAGGACCCTGAATGTGGCCTCGCTGCTAACCGCTTACCAAGCGGAGCTCTGCGAGGACCTGTCGGGTAACCCGGGTGCAGCCACTCTGGACGAGATGGCGGCGGTCACAGACATCTGTCTCCGTGTCCAACGCTGCGCCGTCCAGGCCACGGGTAAGGCAATGGGGATCATGGTGGTGCAGGAAAGAGCGAGAAGGCTCAACCTCACCAACCTCCCAGACCGGGAAAAGGAGGATGTGCTGGATATGCCCATCGTTCCCGAGGGAATTTTCGGCTCCGCTCTTGCTTCCATGCAAAGGAGGTGTGAGTCGAAAAAGAGGGAGGACGAGGCACTCCACCTCTGCCTCCCTCGAAGGGTCCAGCCGCTGCCTTCGCAGCAGCAGTCCTTCGCCCAAGCTGCCTTGAACCCTGCTCGGTTTAAAACACCGAAAACGCAGAGGTCGCAGCCCGCCCCGAGTCCCCAGCCCAGGCTGGAGACGAGGGCGAGCTGGCCCAGAAAATCTCCGGTTCCGGCTGCAGCTCAGGCGCAGCCAACCCAGAATTTCGGCCAGCAGGCGAGGAAGAAGAAGCGAGCGGCGTGACAGCCCCTCCTTCTCCCCTCCGTGACAGAGCTGGAAGTCCACGGTTCCCCAGCTCTAAATGTGTTCCCGCCGCCTCGAGAGATGCCTCAACACCATCCTCAAGTCCGCAAAAACACATGTCACAAATCTGTTTGTTCCTCTGTCATTAAACATTTGCCGCTGACGCATCCAGGCTTCAGGCCGAGGGCGCAGCTAAAAAAAATGATAAGAAAAACAATAAAACCAATAAACAGCCCGCCAACTGTTCCCCTTCTGAGAGCAGCTTCGGCATCTCTCAAAAGGCGGATTACAGGCGGGTCTGTGAAGGCACCACCGTCACGCGCATGCGCAGTGCCGGCTGGGGTTTTAAAAGCACCACCGCCACGCGCATGCGCAGTGCCGGCTGGGGTTGTGAAGGCACCACCGTCATGCGCATGCGCAGTGTCGGTGGGGTTGTCGAAAGGGGGCACCACTGTGTTCAGACACTAGAGGGCCCCATAACACAACAAATAGAGACTCAGAGGGGAAGAGATGTGACATCTCCACTGGCTCTAAGGAGCATGCAGTGGAAGATGCTCACATCATCTGCTTGGGTTTTCAAGACAGTAACACGGGGCTACAGACTCCAATTCGCTGTCACCCCCCCTCGCTTCTCGGGCATTCTGCATTCGCAGGCCCGAGGAGAGTCAGCCCATATTCTGGAGAAAGAGATTCTCTCTCTCCTAGAAAAGAGGGCTATATCTATTGTACCCGCCGAGCAGAGTCAGGGCGGCTTCTATTCCAAGTACTTCCTCGTTCCCAAATGGGGAGGGAACGGAATTCGGCCAATACTTGATTTGAGGGCTCTGAACAAATATCTAAGAAGATATAAGTTCAGAATGCTCACTCACACATCTCTGCTGCGGCTCGTGCGACAAGACGACTGGTTCACATCAGTCGACCTGAAAGATGCGTATTTTCACATCCCAGTATATTACCCACACAGGAAATATCTGAGATTCGCATTTCAGGGGATCTGTTATGAATACAGAGTAATCCCCTTCGGTCTGTCTCTCAGTCCAAGGGTGTTTGTACGATTTACGGAAGCCGCGATAGCCCCGTTAAGACAACAGGGTATTCGCCTGGCGACCTACCTGGACGACTGGCTGCTTCTCGCACAGTCGGAGCAGGAGGCTGTTACGCAGACAAATGTCCTCGTAAAGCACCTGCTCAACCTGGTTTCATAATAAACACAGAGAAGAGCATGTTGTGCCCCGCGCAGACTATACTCTTCCTGGGTTTACACCTGAACTCGGTGCCCTTTTCAGCTCGCTTGTCAGCGGATAGAGTGAAAGCTTTCAGAGCTTGTCTCGCTCTTTTCCAGCTGCGCAAACATGTTCTCTTCAGATCATGCCTGCGATTGCTGGGGCTCATGGCGTCAGCCATCCTGGTCGTACGACTGGGACGCTTACACATGAGGGAGTTTCAGCGCTGGGTGGCCGCCCTAAAACTAAACCCTGTGCGCCATGGCGCGCGGAGAGTGATGGTTACTGTGAAATGCGTAATGGCACTGCGCCACTGGCTGCACCCGACTTTTCTAGTACGAGGTGTGCCTATGGGTGCTGTCGTTTCACGGAAAGTGGTCACCACGGACGCATGTCTGACAGGTTGGGGAGGTATTTATGAAGGTCGCCCGGTGAGGGGTCTCTGGAGCAGAGACCTCCAGCGGGCGCACATAAATTACCTGGAGCTTTTAGCGGTGTTTCTCACCCTAAAACGCTTTCTGCCTTTCCTCAGGGGACATCACGTCCTCGTGAGGACAGACAATACGACCACAATATCGTATATTAACCGCCAAGGGGGTTTGCGTTCTCTCCAGTTACACACACTGGCGCGCAAACTTATCCTATGGAGCGGTAGGCGTCTCCTCTCTCTGAGAGCGACGCACGTACCGGGAGTGAGGAACCTCGGGGCAGATCTACTGTCCAGAGGTATACCACTTTATGCAGACTGGACTCTACATCCAAGGATTGTGAGCCAGCTGTGGGTGCGTTACGGCAGAGCCGCGGTGGATCTGTTCGCATCGAAAGACAACGCTCAGTGTCAGCTGTTCTTTTCGATACGCGATCTAAATGCACCGTTAGGCGTGGATGCACTCGCGCACAATTGGCCCCTGGGCCTTCTGTACGCGTTCCCACCCCTGGCTCTGATACCCCCAACTCTGGCCAGAGTGAGAGAGCAACGCCACACACTTATCCTGATAGCTCCGCACTGGCCAGCTATGTACTGGCTAGCGGAGATATATCAGCTGCTGTGCGGGCAGCCATGGCAGCTCCCACTACGCAGGGACATACTGTCCCAAGCGGGGGGGGCGATCTTTCACCCACACCCAGAGCGCTTGGCTCTATGGGCCTGGCCCGTGAGTGGTACAATCTAAATACAGTGTGACATGACGCTGACCCTGGCAGCTGCCAAGCGAGCCAGTGGCACTCATGCACTATCTGTACAGTTTTCATGCACTCAGTTTGCCCCAGGGCAAACAGAGTGTGGTTGAAGCCTGACCCTGCCTTTATCTTAAGGCGGTCGGTTCGGGTACCACATTTGACATTAAGGCATCCTCCCCGCCACTGTATTCCTCCGGGGAACAGCGGCCTGATTTGCCGTGTCCAGCCCGTGCTTCACGCACGTACAGGGACAGATCAAGGGTGCTTTGTCATAATGACCAACCCCTTGTGTCCTGGGCTAACCCTTATAAGGGCAAGCCTGTTACTAAGCAACGGCTCTCCCACTGGTCTGTGGAAGCATTTGCTTTGGGGCTCATATGAGTCAGAGTTCGCAGGCACCCTCGGGTCCGCGAGCTCTTTCGACTCAGAGTCTGGCTGCATTCTGGACTCTGTCCAGGATGTCTCCCATCAAGGACATTGGTGCAGCGGCGAGCATGTCCTCGCCGCTCACTTTTGTCTGCCTCCTAACAGGCTGGACGTTCTGCTCCCAGTGTGACTCAAGCAGTGCTGGGCACCTGGTTGAGTCAGAGCTCTACCTGTTAAGTTCTGGTTGGTTTGGTGATTTTCGAGATAAGCTCGTCTGGCAATACGGGAGCTACAATTTCCCATAGTGAGACATCGAACGGAGTGTTATGAATGAGAACTATAGGTTACTTACGTAACCCCAGTTCTCAGAGTAACATGAAGTGAGATGTCTCACCAGACGGCCCTCCTTGCTATGGTGAAGCGAGAAGAGGTGCTTATTTTGAATGGCGCATGCGTTGTGGCGCAAGCTACTTATAGGGGGTGATTTCCCTGACGCTGACGTCAAGATCTCCAGCCAATCAGGATTGGCGTAATGAGATTGATGCTTCTGTTTGCTCCGCGATGAGGCGCATCCCATAGTGAGACATCTCACTTCATGTTACTCTGAGAACTGGGGTTACGCAAGTAACCTATAGTTATGTGTCATTGCAGTTAGTTTCACTTTTTTTTTCAATAGCTTCCATGTCAAAATAAGAATCAAACAATACACATAATGTTATGTTAAAAAAGTCCGTTTTTTTTCCATAGCTTCCATATAATGTGACACAGCGACTCCTGACCAAGAAGACCACTGTGAATGTCAAATATGTCGAATGAGTCGAATACAACCTAAAACTAACTTCACCTGTCATCTAAACAGGAAGTTACAGTTGGAAAATTGTTGTTGAGCTAACGAGAAGTTGTTGACATAAATCACAGTGTATAATCTGACACATATCTCCTAATAGGTTTAATTACTTATGGATCAACAGATTATCAGCACACAGGGTTTTAGTACCTGGGATGAAAGGTCGCTCCACGCTGCCTGGCCTTCATCCTGTACTTTGACAGACTTCACTCCTGACAGGATTACATTTTTGGCTATTTCTACCCCAAGACCACGCATGCCTGCTATGAGAACACTGGCTGTGCCCATCCGGTGCATCGCCTCGTGACCCAGAACGTACCTGTGCAGGTGAAAATAACAGGTGGAACTGTGGACCAGCAGCTTTTAAAGTTATACATTTTGATCGGTTGATTGATGTGCAGTAAATACTTACAGCTGTCTGGAGTACAATCCTTCATCGATTTCAACGATTTCTGACATGTTGCTCTTGCTGTCTCCAATATGAGGTGACCAGTTTTTAGTGAGGGATCAGCTGGAATAACAACCGAACAGATCCAACCAGGAACTAAACAAAAACCGGGTGTGACATACAAGATATAACCGTTTAAAGAAAAGTATTTCACTTTCGTTTCAGAATAATCTTTAGGGTTGTTTTTATGCCATAACATATTTGTTTGGCTGGCCACTAGAGGGCGCGTCAGGACTGTCAGAGTTGAAGCCATGCATTTGGTAATTATTGTAACCACATCCTGCTCCTGTGAGAATGAATCTAAATTATTAAAGACTATGAGAGTGGGTTTTGAAAGCAGTGGTGGAAGAAGGAGTATTCAGATATTTTACTTTGATTAATGTATGAATGCAGTGTCGAATTACTCTATTAGAATGAAAAGGCATGCATTCTAAATAATACTCAAAAAGTAAAACTAAAAGGATTTTCCATCATTTAATAATTAAGGTAGAGAAAATAATCCTAGAAATTATGCAGGGTGTCCTCTGCATTTCAGTAAGGTTCGAGCTGGTTTTATTTACTTTATATTCAGCTGGTTATCTTCAAATAATATTGTGTTATATGATTAAGATTGATTGAGGTATAAATAATCTACATCTGCAAATAAACTAAAGCTGTCATATAAATGTGTTGAAGTAAAAAGTACAATAGTTAACTCTTAGATGTAGCAGAGTAGAAGTATAAAGTAGACCTACTAGCATAAAATGGTGTAAAGTATGAGCACAGCAGATGTTTACTTTAGTAAATGTACTTAAGTGCAATCCACCACCTTTTAGAAGCTAGAACTGGAAGATTTTAGAGTGAAAATGTATTATTCACTCATTGTAGAAACACACTTTGAAGGTAAGTGATATTTTTTTTCTTTATTTAGCTGCAGACATTTATAAAAAATGTTCTTGTAAAACTTGTTTTCTGCCTTTTGTTACTTATTGACCTTAAAGCGCAGAATGATTTAGACGCCCTAGTTTGATTTCACATTGTACACACATGTATCTGTGCTTCAACTACATTTGAGTTTAAGACACAACTAGTTTGGAAGCTAATTATTGTTTATAATTATGCAACTTATAATTATGCAACCTATTATAGGAGGGACTTTTACATGTTGCTAAATCTTTACATTTACAAATACAAAATATTTGCATATTTAATAAAAAGCAGAGCATTTTTCTGTGCTTTAAAACATTTTCATGATTATATTACACTGATACACCCTATTATTGCTTAATGTGGTCTTTATTTTTTAACAATCTCAATCTGAAGAGGAGTTAAAAAAAGAAAGCTGCATTCCTTGACGAGAAATATCTTATCATATAGAGGCAGCATTATGAAAACCATCCATATCAGATGCATTGTTCTTATCATACATATACACTTGTATGTAAATAAACAAACAATTTTAAATGAGCTTTTACAGATTAAGGGCTTTTTTTAGGGACTTTAAATATAAATTATCTTCTGGGAATTTAATCTTAGACATTAATATAGCTCTAGAGATACTTCTGCCCAAGTGGTTAAAATCTAAATCGAAGCTGCATGGCCCAGCCCAATCTCTCTGCTTGTATGTGTGTCCCCTGTGTTAGTAGTCAAGTATTTAATGAGTTATACAGAGACGGATGCAATGTGATGTCCTTAACAGTTTGTTTGCTTAGTATCAGGATATGAAAGGCCAGTGAGAGTGAGTCCTTCCCGAGTTTAAATCAAAACAACTTTCTCTGCCACTTTTTGCTCTGCAGTTTCTATCAAATATGTCTTGAGTGAGCTTGATCTTTGTGTTTTTAGTTTTAGAGCACTATACGTGTAAGAAAATGACACTCTCAACTCAAGTGCATATTCGTCTGAAGGAATAAGGCCACACAAACTTTTCAAACAGTCTGTGATTACTGAACTTTGGATTCAGTGGTAGATGTTTAACTTTTGGATCTATAATGCTTCATTATGTCAAAGAGAACAGCTCTATTTGGACATTGTATGATGCTGAATAGCATCATTTTATATGTTAAAGTTTACTGGCCAATATGAGTCAATTTATCAATAGCTAATCTCCTTTATGGTAGTAATTTTCATCAGTCAAAGGTCACATTTCTGGCTTTATATAAGGTGGTCTGACTGGAGAGGAAAGACATTCCTCTCATGCCTTCCTGGCTGCAGCTTCCTATATTTGAAGATGAACTTCATTCCATCAGCTGAAAGATATGTATTTTTGGCAAACATCCTACAGGCGTAGTGCAGACTGTTTTCTGAGGTTGTGAAAGTTTTTCCACTTGAATTGACACGGCCCGAATGGAAAGAGCAGCAGATGATATGTCATGTCTCTTGGGAAGGAAACGATGAGGGTCATTTTAAAGTGGTCAGATTTCGTAATAATTCCATACTTCCTTGTTGCGGGCGAGGCTTGACGGCTTGACAGAACTGCACACACTTCAGAGTCAAGCATGACTGAATGACGATGCCATATCCGGTTATCAACTTTCAAAAATAAAAAGTAGGCTATCTATCTAAAAAAAAAAAAATACAAACAAAATAAGAAATCATGAGAAATGTCCTTTAAATCTTGTAAATGTTCCAGAATAACTTATACCTAAACAGATTTTCTGCTAAAATGAACAAATATGAAATGCAGTTGTTACATACATGCTGGAACTTAAATACCAAAGTCTTATTTATGATCTGTGTATTTAATTCTTACAGCGTACAAGTTGTTATAGTGTTTAGACTTCTAATATGAGCAAATCATGTTTCAAATCGTAAATGATATAATTTGTAAAAGTATGAGCTCTCTCTTCAGACTATTGCTTGTTCTGCTGTTATCTGAATTTCTCCTGTAGGGATCATCATGATATGTTGTGTTGATATATTGTCATTGAATAAAACTAAATCTGGTATTAATCATGGATCAAATAGACATTCTTACAGTAGGTTATGCATAGCCTACATGTATATATTCCATAAAGCAAATAAATAAACGATAAATCACACGATGAGTGCTTTGACCGGGCGCCCTTTTATTTTGAAGGTGAGTGTAATATCCTGTTTCTCCTGTAGACTGTGGTTAATCTCAGAGTCTTGATTTAGATCAGTATCAGTGTAAAGTCTGTGCCAGTGGGATTCCGTGCTGTCAGGTGAGAGCGCGGCTTCAGGTTATTTGAGAGTTACATTGACCCAGGACATTACACTCGTAAATAAATACGTATATTGGACATTATTGGACTATTGTACACGCGCGACATCTGCCCCTTATCACATCGGTAAGTCTTATAAAAAATGTTTAAGAACATTGTTTATGTAGGATGTTTGTAAAGTAGTGATTGTTCCACGTTAATGAATGGTTGAACACGCTTTACTTACAATTCACAGTTAATCGCCTACCTGCCTAGGATATGTCTTTTTACCAGTTGTTATGCAGAACAATATCTATTGAAGTTATCTTTACTTTATCCTCAACACAGTTTTAAAACTTTAACAGTAATCCATTGCATAATGGAGTGTTACAATTGTGATCAAGGATACTGAATCGTAAGAATACTTAATAATAGGTGTTTTTACTATTTGACCAAATAAGGCTTAGTTAGTAGCCTACTATTCTGTTTATTCTGTGTTTGGCTCTGGAGGCCTGAACATTTCCTTAGCTGCTGCACATGTTGCAGCAAGTCACGTCCTGCCCACTGTATACATTATCTTGACTCTATCAGCTTATTATTCCATTGACTTTATCAGATTCGGCTCAAAAGTTTCACAGCTATACTATATCTGTCTTTCTTAATTATCTGAAATTGCAGATTCCTCATTTGAAAAAGCGGAATCTACTGAATCATGAGCTTGTAAAGGAAACAGCTGATACTTTTCCTCTTTTGTCAGGTCCTCATACTGCATTTTTCAGTTTAAACAAGCTAAAATGTTTAGAGTATCCACCTACACTTCATAAGTGTATATCCAAAGTCGTGAATCTTTGTTGAATGTGAAAATAAAATGTTACTGCTTTCTGTCAAATCTCAACATTCCTTCTGTGTTTTTCCTCACAGAGCTCTCCTACTGGTTCTCCAGAATGATCTCTTTGAGAAAAGTGTCTTATAGGTAGCACTCAATCACGGTGGACTGTGACGTGGAGATGGTCACTTGGGCCGCCTTGCTGACAGTATGCATATGGATACAAACACACACAGCCTCAGGACAGCACATATGTCCTTCTACTCCACGCAGGCTGGTAGATTTCACTGTAAAATACTCCCTCCCCCACTTCCAAACAGACAAACCCATACAGAACATCGCTGTGAACCACGAGGAGCATCACTCAGACGTGTATGTTGCATGTCAAAATGTAATATCGGGAGTCAGCCATACTATGGAAAAAACGTGGGAGGTGAAAACTGGACCTGTTGGCAGTACTGACTGCGAAACATGTTTGGCGTGTGACATAGAAATAGATCCTGCAGATCCAGTGGATACAGACAATGAGGTTCTGCTTTTGGATATGTCTGCCTTTCCCTTTCCCTACTTGTACATATGTGGGAGCACTCAGCATGGGATCTGTCACTTCATTGACATTGGCAATCCAGAGCCCGAGCCTCAGTGTTTATTCAGAAAGAAGAACAATTCTCCAACCGCCTGTCCAGATTGTCTGGCCAGCCCCCTGGGCACCAAAGTCACCATAGTGGATCAGTCTGCCACATTGCTTTTCTTCGTAGCCGCCTCTGTCAATGACAAAGTGGCTCAGAAGTATCCAAGGAGGTCAATATCAGTAGTGAGACCTCTTTCAACTGAAGATGGCTTTCATATGGTCATGGAGGGTCTGACAGTGCTCCCCAATCTTCAGGACTCTTACAAGATTGATTACATCTACAGCTTCTCCACAGGTAGTTATGTCTACTTCCTGTCCCTGCAGAGAGAAAACCCATCAAATAACAATTCGGCCTTTCAGACCCGCCTTGGGCGACTGCCGATATCAATCCCAGAGGTGTGGATGTACAGAGAAGTGGTCCTGGAGTGCCGGTACGAACCAAAGCGCAGGAGGAAACATAGTGATGGTTTCAGGGACATTGTGTTTAATGGGCTTCAGGCAGCACACTTTGGGCGAGCGGGGAAGGACTTGGCAGAAGAGCT